TAAAGTCAAAGTACGTTTAGTTGAAAAAATAACCCATAGTAATCGAGATACGTTAGATAGTAAAAAGTGTCTGTTATCGCGTAATAAATAATCTGTATAATAAACAAAGATTAGGTTCTGTGAAGATAAGGTAAGTAAATGAATAATTTAAAACTAAATAGGTCAAAAATGTTCAACTTATAAATAAATGTCGAAGTGGTCAGGCTTCAGAGCCTGTTCTTTTGGCTACTAAAAATTATAAATAGAACTAAAAACTTTAATTCCAATGTTATAGTAGAAACGATCTTCGTAGGATATTTTAAACCCTCATTCTGAAAATCACAAATAAATCAACTTTGACTAGATGATTGTGTGGAGTATCTTTTACGATAAAAATGCTACAGACCGACTGTAATGGATAGAATTTATATTTGTACTCTTAAATCTAGGTGGAAACTAACTTTTATTATTTTTTGTTCTAGAGTAATAACTTTTACTCCATATAACACAAAACTGTTCACTTCTTCTTGTAAGAGATATGATGAGGTAAAACGTTTTGATTGATAAGAGATTAGCTGTAAAAAATGTGTTTCTTATGTAATTAAATCCATTGACTACATTTAATCGTTTTCCTATTAGTCTTGAATACAATAATATTGAGGCAAGTATATCAGTAAATGGCTTTTTTTACAGTTGAATCAAATGTATACAAAAGTTGGCACTGGGAAAAAGAAATAATAATATCACTAATAATTTGGCTAAAGCAACTGTTCCACACTAATCATAAGAAAGGCTTCATAGAATTATTATCCACAAATAACTCAATAAAAACCAGTATATTGCTACTTATTTACTTCAGACATTTCGATTTATCTTTACTAGTAAATGTCATCATATATATATATATATATATATATATATATATATATATATATATATATATATATATATATATATATATATATAACAAGCAAATAATAAAACACAATCAGTATAGTTCCATAATTTACGTCTGTTCTAGCTATTCAATATAAATTGGATTGACAATGAAACTATATTTCTTTATTTTTTCAGACAAAAAAAAGTGGATAAATTAACAAAAAAAGTTTTTTTTCCGAATTTATTATAATTATTGTTTTTAATTTACACATTATGTACTTTACATTAAGCTAAATAAGTAATATCAGTCAGTAATGAATTACTCTTATTTAATTTTTATCATTTTGGTATGATTTTATATTATGCAAGAAAAAAAATACCCGATTAATTCAGCAAATTTAAATTGACCAGAATGAAAAAAATGAACAAGGAGGATCAGATGCAGACATAAAGTCAAGGATTGAAAAAGCAAGGGTCACATTCCTACAAATGAAGAACATATGGAACTCAAAACAACTTTCAACCAATATCAAAGTCAAAATCTTTAATACGAACGTCAAGACAGTTCTACTGTACGGAGCTACTACTATAACCATCATCAAGAAGGTACAAGTATTTATAAATATTTGTCTACGCAAAATACTCAACATCCATTGGCCGGATACCATCAGCAAAAGTCTTCTCTGGGAGAGAACAAAACAGCTTCCAGCTGAAGAGGAAATGGATAGGACATACATTACGCCAATTATCAAACTGCATCACGAGGCAAACCCTAGCTTGGGATCCTGAAGGGAAGAGGAAGGCCAAAGAACACATTACGTCGGGGAATAAAAGCAGATATGAAAAGGATGAATAACAACTGAAAAGAGCTGGAAATGATTGCCCAGGATAGGGTTGAATGGAGAGTACTGATGGGCGGCCTATGCTTCTACACGAGGAGTAACAGGCGTACGTAAGTAAGAATGAAAAGAGAAACACTTTAAATGATTTCAATAATACATCAGACATATAACAACTTTTTAGGCTTCTTTGTCGGCAATACTTTTTTTTAAAAAAAAATAGAAAGTCAGTGCACGATATTTATAAAGTATTATGTTTTAGTTTGTTTTTTATCAAAATAGATAAATTGTTATTTTGACCCAAATATCTGTCTAGCGTTTGTTTGGTACCTCATTCTTAACCTACTTCGAATGTTTATGTATGTAAATATATATACAAGGATATGACTTAGATAACAGAATAAAATCTATCACAAGTGAATCTTAAAACTGAAGTTTTTGTTGTTGATTGGTTATATACATGAAGTAGCAATGTTACATTCATTTTTCATTTAAATACAAATTCAATATATCTAAATGATCAAATCATTTTAATCTAGTTGAATTGATACTTCTTCATTATATATATGATTTATTGAACTGATGGCTAATAATAACCGATCCTAACTACTGACTGTGATACACTGACCAATATGTATGGTAATGGACTGAAATCTCTAGATTGAATTATTTGATTCACCTACTGACCAACCCCCGTTGATTAATTCAAATTCATTTAAATTTCGTTCTTACATTTAATAAACTTCTATGAGAAAAAGATATTTGGTAGCAACGATTTGGCTGAAATACTGGTTCAAGCCCTGTTCAACTTGCTTTGATTGTGATAGCCTTATAGTATATATTCTTCAAGTGTTTATGAAGGGTTATTGAAGTCGATTCCAAAGGTTTACTTGTAGTATTTTTAATTATTAAATCTTAGTTAAGAATATATTCTTTTATGAGGGATGATTATAGTTTCCCCATGTACAAAAACCCACTGATTATTGTGAACACTTTACATTTGTTTGTATTGTAATATCTTGAAATCTCAGTCCGTAATTACTGAAAACAGGATATCCATGACAGTTGTTTCATTTATAGCTAATGGTTTTGCTATGTTTAGCTAAGAACGCATTATTAGGAAAAAAATCTCAACGATAATCGACACTATTAATCAAACATAACCCATTTCACTTATTTATTACATGGTAAGTTTACCAAAGAAAGTCTAGACAACCGTACGCAAATTTAGTAATAATGCCATTTGAAAATGGCATACAATCTTGGTACAACGAAAGTGTTTAATGGCCCAACGAATGACAAGGGTAAAATCTATACTGATTTCACCACATGTGATATAAATGAAGCATACAATGTCACAATTAAACAAAATTTCCCACAAAACTTCAATTAAAAAAACACACTACTTAATGAGATGGTTTATAAACGAATTTGTGAAAGCCGTAAAATCTAAGGACTTTCTTGAATGTGTAACTTTCAATGAGATCAAACAAAGAACCTCCTAGTTTAAAGATATGTATGAAACCATTCAACTGTTGAGTAAGAATACATTACTTATTGATTTTCAATGATTCCACAGCTAACATCAGTTCAGTGACTAAAATTGTCTTAATGAAATATTACTTCAGAAAATGTGAAAACACAGAAAGTGCATGTCAAGATCATGAAACAAGAATTTCCAATGCAATCTTATTATATTTAAGATGGTGGTAATACTGTACATTTGATTTAACACTACCTATTTAAATGGAAAAGAAGATTTTTTGTATAAACACCGCAACCATATTTAATATACTACTTATTAGGAAAAAATTGAAAATAACCAGTAAATTCAGTTCAGATACTGTAATTTTGACAATCGAAAATATTTACAATCATGAACAACAATTGTATGTATGTCATTCTAAAAGTTGACGGTTTAATTCTGACAATACATAACGCTAAACTCGGATAACACATATATTAGAAATATGATTGAGTCTCGAATTTAGCTCAACAGTAGTAATTTATTGCTGTTAACGATATTCAAAGTGTTTAAGTTTTCTTTAATATAACTGGCATACTGGATTCAATCATTTTAAGTTAAAACTTAGTAAACAATGAACTGATCGACAAATAACAGCAGTATTTTTTTTCTTTAACTCTTAATAATTTTGTAATGATGCTTGTCAATGTATTTTCTTCTTGAGTTGTCACTTTTGTGCTGAATATAATGCTTATGTGGGGACACGAGATTAAAAAATTGACTGGTTGGTTTTGACAAATTAAAGAACCAAAACACTTATTGCGATTGAACAGATAAAAGACAGGTACGTCCAAAATTTAGGAAGCATTGTTAGGGACTGATAACTTATAGCTGAACACCAGTGAATTGAAATACTGACTGCTGATATCCTACTTGTTCAATATTCTTATAATGATTAAGACGTGTTTATAGAAGTAGGCATATTGAGTGCTTGATTATTTTCGCAAACAGAATCAGTAACACTAATAGAGTGTACTTGTAAATAAACCTTACCTTTTCTCACTTATCACTGCCTTTCAAATTATTTACCATGAAATTCCTGAATTACACAATAACTAGGAGTAGTATGTTATATCCAGGATCAGTATTATCATTAGTTTTATTCAATACTATATTTTTGTTGCAATATAGAATTCTCAGCATGAAGTTTTTAAACAGGTTTCCCATTTCTTATTTCTTGATCGATGCTGACGATAAATGTTGAGTGATCGCCAGCAGTCCAGGAATCGACATTTGAATAATGTATATTCCTTTCGATGCACACTGTCAGCAACCACGATGTCGTGGATTTGGACTTTTGTAACTTGTACAACGAAAGATTATACACTTTTCAGAAACGCACCTGAATAGGTTATGCAATTAATTGACATCATGATGTATTAAAACAAACGAACAAAAACAGATAACTTATTGAGATATATAAATGACAGGAACAGGTAACCCAGATATTCAAGCAGACCGCCTTATACATATAGTGTAATTCGCTTAAACGTATGAGTTTGTGAACTCTGCTTAAGGTGATAACAGCAGCCTGTATAAATCAAAATAGTGTTTACCGGTAGAAAATCAAATAGTCTTACCATCAAGCTTTGAACTCATTTTTTTTCGATTAAAGGGAAAAGATAAGCGCGCGTAATCTATAGAACTAGCAGCTTGAAGAAACTCAACAAAACCCAAACGGCTTAAGACTACGTATGTAGATCGTCATTATGACGATCATTTTCAGACTAAAGAATCCAAAAACATTTCAATAGAAAAAGGATTGAAAACTTTGTTTTAATGCATATATAAATGTATTCTTTATTTGTTATCAATTCATCTTCAAACTAACAACAGTGTACATTTGTCGTCAAAGTCAGTTGATTAAAGAAAACATTTACATGCGTAAAATGATGAAACGAAACCAACAGATAAACGGTTTTACCTTGAATATTCTCACCAAGAAATTTGATGATAAAAAAAAACAGATTGTGTGTATTGAGTAATGAAATATTTAAAAAACAATTAAAGTACTAACCACGAGTACCATTGGAAAAATTACAGAATATATTAGATACTCTAATTTTGTTCATTTTCTGCATTTTATAAACAACAAAAACTGCTCATATTCGATAATTGTTCTACTAATAGTAGTCATAGTAGTAATAGCGATGGTATTAACAGTGAATTCAATCAATAATAAAGTATCATTCATATAAATCGAACTAATATTGATGAATTCAGAAGATCACCATCTTCTAGTGTTTGTGTATCCTCATTTAACTCACGGGTCGGATAGGATGTCATCAATGCAAATAATCTGGAAGCCAAATCTGGTCTTTCACTAAAATTTTGAAGGGAGTAAACCAAAAATAAAGATTATATACATATATATATATATACGCTAAACAATTATATAAGGTTCCTAAAATATTAAAAAAAAGAACAAATTTAAACAAATTACCATAAGAAAGGCAAATAAATCATACTGAATAAATAATTTGTGTTACATTACCGAAAATAACAACTATTCAGTAGTGACAAATTTGTCTAGAATGTAACCCACAATGAAAATTACACCTCATACCCAATTAGATTAAAAATAAAGTTTAGATGGTAAATGACTATGTGTTTAAAGACTAATAATTAAAACCTTGTAATATAAATCTTTGGAAAGAGGTCTTATTCACATAATAATCTGATGCAGCAAACTACTAACCTACCATGGACAGTTTTAGTGGGGATAAACATAAATTGAAAATTCCAGACACATCACTAACAAAATGGTACATAGTGAACTATTCTTATTGGATTTACGTAAATTTATCACATAAAGGATTTAGAAAACCTTAGTTTATTAACTTGAAAACGTTTAAAATAAAAAAAACTTACTCAACAATGTGCTCCACTTGAAAAAAAAACCCATTATTTAATACTATTACTATTATTAGCTTTATTCAATATTATATTTTGGATACAATATAGGATTCTCAGCATGAAGTATTTCTACAAGTTTCCGTTTCTTACTTCTTAGTCGATACTGATGATAAATAATGAGTGGTCGCCAGTTAGATGTTAGCAGTCCAATAAATCGACATCAAAATAATGTACATTTTTTGGCCCCCGAATGCCCTGGTACGGCCGAGAGTGGGGAGAGTCCGCTCTCCCTCTCGAAATACTCTCACACGGCCGCGCGTATACAGCCTCTGCCAGGGAAGTCCTACTCATTGCCTTCTCGTGGCGGGGGTGTTGTTTACGAAAATGAGAGGACGAAAAGCGAATGTCCGGCGCTTTAACCGGATCACAAACCAATGGTGCACATGGGCTCCAGTATCCTGCGGGAACAAATGGCGTATGAACCAATCGTTGGTCACCGGCTACCATGGGATTGCATCTCCTTACGATGCTCCACTGCCTTGTGGGTTAGACCATTAGGTCAAAGGCTCGAGGTGTGGCCCCCTAAGATAACCACCTGCTTCGGTTTGGGCATCCGGGCAGTATCACAGCCCACACACGAAAAGTGTGAGGCATATATATTGGCGCTCTCTTGTACCAATATTTATGTGTTCAAATAAATAAATAAATAAACATTTTTTGGCTGCATAATCCCAGCAACCAAGATATCTCTGATTGGGCCTATTGTAACTTGTACAACGAAAAGTTGTACACTTTTCAGAAACGCACCTGAATAGGTTATGAGACTAATAGGCATAATGATGCTTTAAAACAAAACAGATAACTTGTTTAAATATCTAGATGGCAAGAGTAGGTAACCCAGATGTTCAAGCAGGTCGCCAAGTTATTGAAAATACGAGAATATGATTTCTAAGAAGTATTATTCAAACATTATGTATATTATTCAGTTGCGAGAGCCTTTGAAAAAACACTGGCTTCAATTATCAAAACAAACAAATATAAAGCAAAGGTTATCTCAGGTATAGAAGTATTTTACTTAGTCATATATTCGATTTTGTTCGATCAAGATTATTAGTGGTGAAAATCACCAGCCATTAGAAACAAACTACTTCGATGCTGACATCACCAAAAACTTGAAAAGACATGAAAATATGCAAACCTAGAAGTGACTGTTATAACCAGACATCATAGAAATTCATTTATAAATGTTCATTCATATTAGAAGTCTATTCACTTATCACAAATAAATGTTAGAGGTTAAGACATAGAATTAAACCATTACATACAGAGAACAATTCATGTATCTAATCATGAAACCATCTACTTGCAATCGAAAGGAGCTTATTGAAATTTTTTTGTAGTTTTAACATTTAAAGTTTCATTGAAAAAAAAGTTTTGTAATACGTTTATGAATCTTTCCAATGAGATATTTTTTGCTGTAAAAACACTGAGTAATAATAGATAGTTTACTACCATTAGAAGTCAATCGGAAAAAAGTAGTGAAACATAAAGTCGTAATACATTTAATTTACAGATTTGGCAAGAAAAAACGTCTTTGTGCGATAAACGAATTTACTTTATGACTTACTTAACACACAAATATGTTTACATCATTAAAGATAGATATATATCTGTACTCAACACTCGTAATTATTAGGGTTTTGAGTCTTTACTCTGACACTGTTCAGTTTGATGTTAGTTTAAATCAACCAACCAATTAACGAGAACCATGGATGATTGAAAATGTGTTTCGCTTTCAGTTTGAAATTCTCAGTAGTATAAATCTAAAACTCAGTGAAAAATTAAATTCAATAGCTTCGAACTTCGTAGTAACGATAATACTTACAGAGCTTCGAAAAGAATCCGCAAATTTCTATTGAAAAATAATAAACAGTAAGGTTCTAACTATGTCACGAATAAGGCAAGTTTTGTTGATGTCATCCAGCGTCTGTCACTACTGATTTTTGCCAATTTTTCGGTGCTATTCGGTTGACAATAGTTTTGTAACTGATGTAAGTCCATAGTTGAGCGGTTGCTTAACGGATGAGGGCCATGTACATTGAGTGTGGATAAAAGCTAAGCTCACGAATCTGTACATGGCAAATGAGTTACCTCTTTTTCCATGTCCGTGATGATAACAATCTCGTTAACATTTAGTTATCATTAAGAGAAACGTAAGTTGAACAGTTTTATCAAAAGATGCATTTGACACAGTCATACAAAAAGTAAATGGACTAAACTAGATTAATAATAAGTAAAGCATTTTTATTGTGCCTTGATATTTTCTCCTTTTTAATGTACAGATTAAATCACCCGTTGACTATTGGTAATACAGAAAGCTATTTTTCTTGATGAAATTAACTTCCAATATTGATTACATGTACGACACGATTGGAAAAAGTCAACTAATTAAATCAACCTACGTATAAGAAATACTATTTGAATGTTTTATAAAATATAGTGAAATAATTTTCAACACTCCTGTAATTTGACCAGAAAAAGTTGGGTCATTACATGAAAATTACAAAAGTTTAAGGAAATAACATATAATATATTGTTTAGAAATCATTAAACTTAAAATTACTGTTACTACTACTACTGTCAATGAGTGTAGTCAAACATACATATCTCGTGAAACTACATCTTATACACAGATAATTGTCTTGACATAACTATTAAAATAAACTCAAATAATTCTAGATATGGAAGCAATTTAGTGATTAAAAAAAGTCACCTACATTTACTGAAGTTTACGTTTGAAGAATAGTTTGGCAACAAAGTAGTATTAAAAGATTTCAAATAAAATCTTGAATTGAAACTGACTGGATAACCGTATACTTCTCTAATGAGTTATATTAATTTTTATTAGATTTAAATAAAAATTCAACAACATTTATTTTGAACATTAATGTTTTTGTTTCCACTATGTAAATAATAAAAATTCCAAAATACTATTAAGTTTTTATTGTATGTAGGGAGGGAAAAGTAGGAAATTATAATTTATTCGCGGAATCAGTAAATAACTGTGAACCATCTTTATAATATCTATTTACATTCCAATCAAGATTAAGTGAATGAATGAAAAACAATCTGAATACTTTTATTAAGATATTGTAGTTTTGTTTTACAATAAACAACAATGATATAAGAGATATATCTACTGAAACATAAATTCCTATTCAATATTGAGTATGGCAGTTTGGAAAATATTGAAACACAATACCATGTGCCTTCATTGTACAACTAACAAATACATTTTATTCGACCCAGACATAATAATAATTAAATACACAACTTAAAACTCGGTAATTTTAAATAATTCTTAGAACTATAGTAAATTTTATTTAACAATAAGAAATAATACTTCATAAAAGCTCATTAATTTTACTATGCGTTAATAGTCTTGGGTATTATATATATATATATATATATATATATATATATATATATATATATATATATATATATATATATATATATATATATATAATGAACTAGACATCACTGCAACGATCAATTAACGAGTAAATTTGCAAAGTTTTCGTAGTGCTGATTGAACTATGCAGATCAAGTAGCAATATGGCCACTAGTCTAAATGATTCGATATTGTCTGCACTGTTTTCTTGTAAGGAAGATGGAGAGAGTCCGCAGGAAATCCTATTTAATATAGGTTGTGTGTTATTCAGGAATCATTAGCTTAATAATAACGTTTATGACTTTAGAATTGAATAATGAAGGCTTAAATCCTACAGGAATTACCAGTTTCCTTAAGATTCCAGGCATGCCTAAACGAACAGTAACAATTAAAATATTTGTTCTAAAACATCGGAATAACTTAAAGATACATTTCAGTGAACTATAATTAACAGTTAGAAAATATATTATCTTAGACTAAACTGTATGGAATGTATACTATGAACGCATTATTTCTTTCATTAAATCACATTATTATGAAACACGTTTAGAAATAAGTTAAGAGAGTACTACAACTTGACGGAAGTCTTGAAGATATAACATATACAAAATTATACTGGTTTAATCGACAATGTTTGTTACGTTTTTGCACTGATTTGATTTAGTTTGCACAATATACATACAAGCAATAATTACATTTCAATGAATGTTATTAATTCCTGTGATTAGAAATGTTTTTAAAGCTAAAAACAAAACTCGTAATGATATCTTGAAATGCAAAATATCTAATCATAAAACAAGATTACACAAAACTGTTTTAGTCTTTATCAATTCTGTAGTACAGGTATTAAAAGTAAATAATTCATAGTTTTATGTAGAGGTTGTGAAATCACACTAACTTACACATCAGAATTGCATATTATATCAATGAAATATTAGGTCATTCTTTTGATAGACCATAGATAACGATAATTGAAGTTTCCAAACAAGAAAAAAACAAGGTTGAATTTTCTTGATGAAGAGTAAAAACATTTTACTGATATATAAAATTGCAGAAGTTAAGAAATTTAGACTGAGAAAAGAGATCGTGTTACAAAAAATATTAACAAAGAATTTAACCGTGTTTTTGGAAATTATTCTTCAAAATATAATCAGAGTGTAAATGGAGACAATATCAAGTCATCTGTTCAAGGAGCCAATATACTAACAACAATTAGTCACATTCAAAATCATTCACATCACTCAGTAATTGATTTGAACAATCTCAACATTCTCCTATTTCATTGAATTTGTTCATCTCTATACAATTATTATTACAGTTAAAATTTAGGAAACATGACAAACGATTTTCTAGTGAAAATATTAGTACAATTAGATAGTGGAAATTATATCAGTTAGTATGCAAGGTAATGAACTTTACGTCCTTTTATTAACAACGGTAGACATAATCAGAAACAGTAAATAAACAACAACAAATTTGTTCATTATCAAAGTATATGTTTGTTAGACAACCGACAGTTACTCTTTATATAAGTCTAGTAAATAGGTAGAAAACTATATAATTTAAAAGTAATTGGGAATAGAAAATAATCGCATACATTCTTACAGTTGTATATATACTGTATTGATACAATCAACGAATATTTTACATACATATTGTAAACATTTTATTTGTTGCTAAAAAGACCTATCCATTGTACAAAATATAGCAGGCGTAAAAAACATTTTTGACAGTAATGCAGTTAATTATAGAAAATAACTTAGTATGACCTAATAATAGTAAGATACTTTTACAATTTCAGAAAACATCTTCCGAAAATGTTGCTTTAGGAAGAGTAATAAAACATCTACAAGAAAGCAATGCACAGCTGAAATAAAATTATCACAATATTTATATATGACGGTTTATGCCGTTAGTTGCTTGTCCAAACCAAAGTAGGTAGAATAGATTCGAGCTTATCACCCAATGACTTAAAACCCAGTATTTTTTACGCATGAAAAGGAAGAAATATGAAATTTGACAGCGGACATAAATAAAATCAAATCTATATTCTCGTATAGCAGAACAACCTACGGTTAAAATGACACTGCACAACGAAAATTCAATAGCGAAGTATAAAAACAATGAATTACAAAATATAAATCATATACAGTGTAACAAACAATAAATAAGAATTTACGGTTGGAGCTTAAAAAAAACAAGAAACACTAGGCAGAAATTTTTAAACTCATTATCAGAATACCAAGTTGTGAGAATGAATGAATTTAGACTTATATTGCATACAATGGTATTAGATAGACTTACTAATCATTAAGTCGAATACAGAAAAGATCGTACTGTGTAAAATCTTTGTAAAAATACAGTCTAAACTTAATAAATGAATGGTAACTAATATGCTAACTTTGAATATCCTTTTTTACACTTTAGAATTTACTAGACAAGTAAAAAATTTAATTAAATTTTCCTATATTTCATCTCGAAAATTTTAAGATAGATAACACAGCTGGAGTGCACGTTTATAAATGTAGAAAGTTGATCTCATAATACACGTTCAATTTTACTGATTATTAATGAAATTAAACGATATGATACGATGGAAAAAAAGAAAGAAAAACAACAACAACAACAGACAATTGTAATTCAACTACTTACATCAGGATAATAAAACAAAGAGTAACAGATTACAAACGTTACTGTTGTTAGTATTTATTAAACAGTAACAAACTCCTTGATTGCTAATTTTCTTACTGATTAGAATATTTTCTTTCTTTTTTAAATAAAATTACAACATATTACATTTAAAAAAAAAATAAATTTGAGAGAAAAGTTAAATATTTATTTGACTGTTACTTTATTACACATTTTGTGAATAACAATTACATGAGCTAAAAACAAAAAAATGTTAAATTAGAATTATTGATGATATACATATATTATTGATAGAAGTATCTTTATGGTAGGTGTCATTACCAAGGTTTGATTTGATAATTTCGAATAAATTGAGCATTGGGTTGATTGTTATAAATAAAAATAATATATTTGTAATATCCCAATGAGTAGAAAATTGGATTTTCTGACGTTTCGTGACTTAGTGTAAGTCACTTCTTCAGAGAACAAATAACCAAATTAAAATTCATCCAAGTTTAAATAGTACAACGGAACAATGCAAGAATAATATTGGATCAATCAAAAACAAGTCTGAACAAGTTGATGTCATGTCATTTCTGTCAAGGTGATTCATAACTGATATGTATGTAAATTTGTGTGTGTGTATATGTGCATTGTTTAAGAATGAAAACCTGTGTGACCTTTATGGTAAGAAAGGATAGAGTTTAAATTTGTAATATGATAGTGTGAAATTGTAAATACGATCAGACTGAGTGGCTAGGATAGATGGTCCAAGTAGGATGTATAGTAAGACCTTCCTTTCTATTGAGAGAAGTAGGATTAAGCATTATATGGAACGCCTCAGCTACCCTCCTTTCTTTGTAGTTAGAAAAGCCTTTTTGCAATATTTTGATATTTTTTTTAAAATTTATTTATATCTTTATGGTAATTAAAACTAGTTGTCTTTTTATACATGATCATGATTTGATGATTAAATATTGCATAGAAACTATGTAGAATTTATCAGTTATTTATGTAAATTAAGTTAAACTTTGAGTTATATGAATTGGCAATTTACTAATACAGTATATATACATATACTCAACATTGAAGCGTATTGTTTGTGTGATATTCATTATATCACTATTTAGTTGCTTAAATTTATGAAATTCTGGTTAATAATTCAAACTATCAGTCCATTATATGTGAAAATGATATTTGAAATAATCTTGGCGATTGAAAAAACTGAGATTATTTCAAATATCATATTCACATATAATGACTTCACTTTACTCGGTGCCCAATTTCTGTCAAACTATTCGTTCTAATCTTGACGATCCATTAGTTAAAATCTAATTGATAAATTCAATAATGTAAATATTGTATTAAAAAAAAAAAAGAAAACAACAACTAAGTATCATCAATGTTAAAAGATAAACTTTCAATATATCAAAATATATTCTATCCATAATAAAATAAATTGATAATCAGACAAAGAGATTTTAATTTTAAAAACAATAATAAGAATAACAACTACAACAATACAAATGTATTCAGAGAATAGTCAATGTTTGTTTTGTAATTTTATATTTTTTTTTATACGTGTGCCAGACAGAACAACAATATACCCGTTTTAATAAGTATTAGTAATATTTTAAAAAATAAAAACAATAGTAATGACGACTTGATCAAAACTTATAAATTCCAGTTCTGAATTAAAATAACAATACAATTATGATTAGAATAATGAAGAAGTTATAGTAAGGAAAAATAAAAAGGCTAATTGACTTCAACAAAAAAAGAATACCCTAATGATAATAATAAATAACTTCAAATGAATGAACTATTTAGAAATATCAAAATATTATGTAAATAGAGAAGGAAACACAACAGGTGAAATGTCTAAATGATAATAGTTATTAATAAATAAATAATAAATATTATAATTGAAAATAAGATAGTTGAACTTATTTTAAATATTGTGTAAATGACGCTGGATAAAGAGATGTTTTTTATGACAATGTAATAACAGTGTGTCAAAGGAAAACAAAAAGGGGGGAATAGTGAACGTATGAAAATATGATCAGGTAAAATATATTATAAACGGTATTTATAGACAGAAACAAAAAGCCAAGAATATATATATATATATATATATATATATATATATATATATATACATCTAATTAGTAGAAGTATAATTGATGGTTCAGATAGTAGTAATATAGTATTCGAAAAAAAAACTTTATGCTAAATATCTGTGGTATGATTAGTGTATAGAAATAATATTAAACATTTGTATTTAAAACATGATAAAAGATCATTACAACGACACTTTGTATTAATTATGTAACTCAGTGCTATATGATGTGAAAATAAAGCATTCAATATTAAAATAACAAGTATTAAAAAGTATGTTTAGTAAATCTAATCGTTTTATGTTATAGAAAATTTATATTAGATCAAACCATAATAAGACAATAAGTGATTGTCATGAAATTCTACAATGAACTACATATACTGCAACAATAAATCTTATAATTATAAAGAGTTTATCATAACTCCCATTCAATAACATCAGTTCATATCTGATCATGTACATTTGTATATTTCAAGTTTTATAAGTTGAAATTATTTTAACGAGAGCATAATTCACTAAATTCATGTACTCAAAACAATGAAACAAATTAAATAAAAAGAATACTAGTCATCTATGCTTCCCACTATGCATAATATGGTGAAGTAATCAATTCAATGATAATATAAAAATCCTCAAATATGCATAAAAACCGCAATGTGAACTGTAACCAGTTCGTTTAATTTACTTTCTCCAGGGACAAATAGGCTTTTTATTTTTCTAGACGACCAATAGGATTCTCCTACTATGATGGGCGGGAATAACTAACTTAGAAACGTAATAATAAATATTGCACTGCTAGATTATATAGTGCTAATCACATTTTAAAAATACTTTTTTAGCTGACTAATTTGATCAACATACGAGTTGAAATATACTCATGGAAAAAGACCCTTGTAAAAGAAAACTACGTCTGAGTACAAAAGCAGATATTAGGCGTCAAATTTATTTAATGGTCACAACTCAATCGAAAATGCGTTAACAAGAAGGCGGAAAATCAGTCTGAACGTTGCATTTTCGGTGTATTTGTGTTAAGGATGAAATTTACGAATTCACAGGGCACTTGTAGAACCATAAAGTGGTCAGGCAATAAAACGGGATTCAATGAATACTGAAGACAAAAGCTATTACCATTTGGTAAAAAACGTTTTTACCTAAAATAAATCAACAAATACGTCAGATTTTCTTATATCACAATTGAGATAAATGTAACTTCGGAAACACTACTTGCAAATGATTTTCATAGATTGTTAAACTAAAGTAAACAATTTGTTCTATGGTAAAAAAGTTCATAGAACAGTGAAATTGACAAAAACATGTTCTCCAACCATAAATGTTTTATAACTTTTTAAGCTACTTATAAGTCATATAACACAAAATGCAAAAAAAACAGCAAAACTACCTTATGATTGCTCTTCTGATATCACCAATTGTGTGAAAATTGTTTAGACGGATCACAAATCTGAAACAGTAAAAGATCAAGTTTCAAAAACATTTTGTACCTAGGGTGCAATTATATCAACTAGAGCTAGCTTATCGTCTCTACTCCTTCTTGATGATGCCATCTCTAGTTAGACAAAGCCACGATAAAACGAAACAAGGATAATAATAGTTTATGACATTTGATTTCGAGTAACAATCTTCTGAATTATCATTTGCTGATGAGGATATTATAGGTCATCCAAACCGATCCGTTTGAGACAATATTGGGAACACGTCATAGCATAACGACTGACGATCCTGCTATGTGCTGTTTTGTATTCTACATAAACAAATAAAATTTACCGCCACCTTTTTTTATTTGAGCAACATCGTTCAGTGTTCTCAGTCGAGAAAAATGATGATATTCATTTGAGTTATCTTAAAAATTACATATTTTTAACTCAGTGAACTGTCAAAGTTATATGGTTATATAACACTGATCTCTTTTATGCATATGAGCTAAGCCATTAGACGCGAACTTCCATCGCTTAATTTGATTGCTTTTTTGTTGACCTTCAGATAGTTCAGTATTATGTTTATCAAGTAACATGATTAAGTTAGTTCATGGTTACCAAGCTAGAAGGAACTAAAACTAAGACATTAGCATCTATGCAAAGGAAACTAATAATAAAATAAAAAATGAACTGTTCTGCAGATATTCTTAGAGAGCCATACATGTGTAGATGAACGATTACGTCTTCATTTTATTTTATTTAAACACATAAGCATTGGTACAAGGAGGCACTAAATGTTCATGAGACACATAAACCATTCAACTTGTGTGAAGACTGGAATATTGTCCGAATGCCCAAACCGAAGCAGGTGGTTTTCTTAAGGGGCCGTTCCCCGAGCCTTCGACCTAAAAGTCTAGTGCACAAGGCAGTGGAACAACTTTAGGGGATGCGATCCCATGGTAGCCGGTGACCAACAGTTGGTTCATACGCCATTTTTCCCCACAGGATACTAGAGTCCATGTGCACCATTTGTTTGGAATCAGGGTTTTCCAACTCCCCTAGGTGAACTCTCCGGATCAACCAACCCGGTTAAAGCGCAGGAAATTCGCTTTCCACCCTCTCAATTACGTAAACAACACTCCCACCAAGAGAAGGCAGTAAGTAGAACTTCCCTGACGGTGAATGTATACGCGTGTCCATGTGAGAGCATTTCGAGAGGGAGAGCTGACTCTCCCCAACCACAGCCGTACCAGGGCATTCATGAATCAACCTGAATCGGTCTACAAATTACCATTTGAACCGATATTTTGTAGCATTATAGACTGCTGTTGTGCCTTGGTCTGATCATACAATAAACATCTCAACGGTAGAAGTATGCCACAGTATACTAATACCTGTAGTAAAAAACATTAGTTCAAAGAAAGGTAATTTGTATGAATTCGAAGTATAGATTAACCAAGTGGTCATTTATTCTTTCATGTTTCACACATAAGTCTTAAATCTAAAAACGTTGTGTTATTTAAATACGACAAGATAAGCAATAAACGATGGATTTGGCTTATATAAGCTAATTGGAATGCAAGCTTAGTATTCGATTTCATAAAACTAAGTTTACTTACAAAAATCAATACCATTTTCCACATGAATCATACTGTCAGATACTCAAGCGTTTGCTAATAACTATTCGTATGAAATCTGGTTTCATACACTCCGGTTCGGGGTACAAGTATCTTTCATGAAAGCGTTGAAATTAATTTACGACCAAAAAAATCAAATAATAAATGAAATAGAGCAAATAGTAGATTTTACATAACTTTCAAAGATCCAATCAAAATTATTCTACTAGACGTTATTAATAAGATACTAAATGTTACTGACGCAAATTGTTAGTACTATTATACAGCATACAATAAATGGTTTACCTCGATCCATCAGGTAATCGGATCTGAATTTGTGTTACCGGTTTGGTATCGTCTACTGTAACACCAGGTTCATGGTTTTCACTGATACTGACTTTAGTTGGAACGCTTGAGACTAAGTGAGGAAGCGGAGAACCAAGCATTTGTCCTACGCCAGAAAAAGGTATGATCTTAGGAGCAGAAGGAGCCTGCCACGCTTCATGGTGATGATCTTCGAGCATAACATTAACCATATTTCCACCAGCAGATTTTAAAAGTTCCTACAGGTAATAGAGTTTTCCATAATCAACTATAGAACAATATTCAGTCACACTTATGTTATCTAATTAAAGAGTCTACATGTAAGGTGATCACACATTTAGTAAATGTTATACAACTACCATCTGGAATCAGATCAAAGCCATGGTGACAAACTAATGAACAACCATCAAATCAACAATAATTAGACTGTACCCTGAAAACCATAATTGGTTTACCCCAACTTTAGACCGAACAGTTAAGTTAAGTTGTTACAATTAGTATTGTAACACGCCTACTTGATTTATTATAACCATAGTATAGGTGGATTATTCTAATCTTCCCATTTATTCTGTCAGCCATACGTTTGCCCCCGACAGTTACTCAGGTGTAACCTTGATCGTATTTCATACGTGTGTATGGTAGCACCTATTTATCAATCCACTTCCTGTATTTCTTGCACGAGTCACCTTAATATTCTGAGTGGGTATATTACCAAACTCCAATGCTACACACAATCGTTGCATCTTTTGTTGCTTGTCTGCAGCTCAATATTAGGACGTTTGAAATACACGTTCTTCAAATACCTTTGTTCTTGACTTTTTACATCTTATTTGTTATAAACGGGACATATCGACGGAATATACACGAAGTTACGCGGGATATACATTTCATTGGCATCATTATCATCCGTGCATATTGGAGTCACGCAACGGACACTAAAAATACCGACGCAATCAAGGAATATATGTATATATTTGTAATTTTCTAGATAAGAATTATTTTAAACATGAATGACGCCAAGATTATGAACTATTGAAGTTAGAGCTTGGGAGAATAGTTGAATGACATAACTATCGTTGTCTTATATCCTTATATGTATGGAGTTTTGTTATAATTCGATGTATACTAAAACATCGTCGCGTTTAAGAACACTTATTTGACAAAGGAAGACGTGTGCACGGAACTAATGCAAGCTTTTCTTCGAAAACTATTGAGTTGGTAAGTCAAACGCAAAGTAAAACCTGGGACATGTGTATATCGGTCCAAGTTAACAAACAATATTAGCACAGTAGGATGAAATTGTTAGGGCAAATCTCAAAGTAGTAAAAGTAGAAACAGTATTAATAGTAGTAGAAGAGATTATTTATACAAGATATAATTTGAGAAAATATAATTTTATGAAGAATTTACAAACGTGGGACTTAAGATAAGGCAAAGAGTGAATACACCTGCGCCATTGCGAGCGATTTTGAGCTATGACCAGGTAATCTGCACCTACCTACATGACTCAAACCAAGAGCTAGCGTAGTCACGGAATGATCACATGTTTTGGTTTAGCCGCTCCTAAATTTCTCCCAATCTATTCTTACATCAGCCATCAATGTGTGTTGAGGTAGTCGGTGAATGGTAGTACGTCATATAAGCCACAACCATCTTAGTCGATAAAGATTTATTACTTCATCAACTGACTTGTTATACTTATCTAGCACTCAGAATCTAACCTCAGAATCGCTAACTTGATGGTCCCAAAATACACAAGAAATCCTTTGAAGACACCTATGGTCACATACAAGTAACCTACAAATATCCTCCGTTTTCAAAGGGGTCTATTCGTTTCAGCTAAATACTGAGAGCATTTCTCAAGGAATTTCATTATCAACATTTGTAGTCCACATATTAAGGAGATATGACTACTTAAATTCTTCTCACATTACTATGTTGCTAGTTATTGACAAAGACAGATATTAAAACACAAAGAATATTCTTTTCAATAATTTCTCATCAGGTTATAAAATTATAAATCCAGATTAAAGACAGATATTCTACTATCAGATTTCTACAATCCCGATGTTAATACAAAAGTATGAAATTTCATCCAACGTCACATAAAAAACATGATAAAAGGAAAAGACGAGTAATCCTAACAAAAGACACTAACTTCAGGGATTTGACCATTCTGTATTGCATTCAAAAATTCAGAAGCATCTGGATCAGTATATGAACGTAACGGCCCACTGTCTAAACTAAAACCGTCACGCCACATTTTTACAACAACGTTTTTTTCAGAGACATCGTTTGTACTGGAACCGCTCGCAGTATTTGCCTCAACCTGGGGGGGAGCACTAAGATCATCACCAAGCCTGAACAAGAGAGAAATGAACACATTTGTACGTGATTATTTCATTCTTATCTTTCAAAAAGCGCTTAAACAACAGCTTAAATGATATTTAATAAACATGGACATCGTAAACTGAAGAATACAAGCGAACAGTCGCGGCAAATAGAACCAAAAGGACTAGTTACCATGTACGAATTTCATGACTGAGAGTTGGAAATATGAACAAAATAATCAGTCATGCATGCAAAAAGTAAGACCTAGAAAAATGTGTACAGGTCTAATTCTCCACTCCTCATATCACCGCACAGAGAGAAAAGTAATAAAACGAAATGTCAATAAGTAGAAATGATAGTATTTACAGTAGTCCCGACCGAAGCTGCTACCTTGACGTGGTGGTCGGGCTTGCCTATCGTGATGACCCATCCGAGCTATATTGGCTGGAACATATGTTCCTGTAGGTTCTACCATGCCAGGCAGGTCGATTGGTGAACGGTAAGACTAAAAGCAGCAACTCAAAGTCTGAGGGCGAAGTCGTACTGCTGACTGTACAGAGGTGTGACAGCAGTAAGGTGTTTCCTTCGGACAATCAGCATGACAGCGATGCTGCCTTCCCACAAGGAGGGGTGGGGTTAGAAAAGGTCGACCCTAAAAATGTCACACCTCACCTTACCTCACGGATTTCCGTCTCCGGCGGTAAGGCCATCTGAAGAACGGAGCTAACACGTCAAAAACCTTCTACAAAAAGGCCGTGCGCGACCGGCCTCAAGCAGTTGTCCCTTGGGCTCTGCGGTCACGCTCCCAGGTCGTTAAGACCAACACTAATCCAATTTCCTTTTCAGGTTCCTCAAGAAATACCCTTCCACGGTGTGGGCAGCCGGGAAGTGACATCAGCCCTCATACCCGTAACAGCACGCGAGACCAAGTTGGTCACATTCAAATCCTTCCTACACCTTCTAATACCTCTCTTATCTCCATGACTAACCCTCCTCACGTCTCTTTATCACCTCGCACCGCTAGGGCAAACGATTCGAGTACGTGGAACTCTATTCCTGGTCTCCTCAAACCACGCTCTAAACTACACGTAGGAGCTTTTAACGTCCGAACACTGTGCCAAATAGGACAGCAGGCTTCCTTAGCTAGGACTTTAGAATCTCGCGCCATCGATGTGTGTTGCGTCTCCGAAACGCGCATACAGGATCCAAGTAGCATCATTCATTTGACCTCACCATGCCAAAATAAAGAACCGACTCGATTTACGCTTCGTGTATCTGGAAGCCCTGATTCTGCTTCCCGTGGCCTCGCCGGCGTAGGTATAGCATTGAGTCCTAGGGCTGAACTAGCTCTCTTAGAGTGGATCCCAGTAGACAGTCGTTTGTGCGCTGTCCGACTGAACGGAACAGTAAGAACCCGGAAAGATAGGGACACTCGTCGTTGCCTCTTCGTCGTCTCTGCCTATTCTCCCACTGACTGCAGCTCAGATGATGTAAAAGATGAGTTTTACAGAAAGCTTTCGGACCTTCTCCGAAAAGCTAAGCGCTCGGATGTAGTAATAGTGGCCGGTGACTTTAATGCTCAAGTAGGTAAACTAAGCGATAGGGAAAGACACCTGGGTGGATCTTATAGTATAGTGGCTCAAAGAACAGATAATGGCGACCGTCTGTTGCAGCTATGCTCAGATAATCGCCTGTTCCTTGCAAATACTAACTTTAAGCATAAGGAAAAACATCTTTTAACATGGCGACCCCCTAATTCGTCCCAACGTTGGACCCAAATAGATCACATCGCTATCAGCCACCGATGGAGGGGCTCGATAGAAGACTGTCGCTCATTCTGGAGCACATGCCTAGATTCAGATCATGCTCTAGTACGAGCGCGTATTTGCCTGCGTCTTACTGGACGTAGGAAAACCGCTGCAAGGAAACCTCTTAGGGGCCTACTTAATGATAGTCAAGCTAAGAGTATATTTCAGGAACAACTAGGAAAACAGTTAGGCAGCCATGTATGTGATGCCCACCCCGAGGCAGCATGGAATGATATCCGAAAAGCTGTGGAAACAGCAGTGATATCTGTTAGTAAGGTAAACCAGAAGGTTAGGGAGCAACACTGGATCTCAGCAGCATCTATCGCACTGATAGATGCTCGGAAACTCATTCCACCTGGCTCTGAACATAGTGAAGAGCGGAGTCAGCTTAAGCGCAAACTAACAAGAAGTCTACGCAATGATCGCGAACAGTGGTGGGTAGCGAAAGCAAGAGAGATGGAAAAGGCAACGGCAATAGGTAATAGCAGACAATTGTTTAGACTCGTTAAGGAAACCGGAATTAGGAACCCGACTGTTAGCGAAACAATCTCAGAGAAAGATGGACATATTATTCATTCTCAATCCAGGAGATTGGATCGATGGGCAGAACACTTTAGGGATCAGTTCAACTGGCCTTCAGCCACACTTCGGTTTCCCACGATCTCCAGTCAACCTGAATGGCAAGTTAATGTAGGTCCTCCGTCTCTTTATGAAGTTGAAAAAGCCATAGGAAATCTGAAACGAGGGAGAGCAGCAGGCCCTGACAGGTTTACTCCTGAGATTTTTAAGGATGGTGGTCCAGTATTAGCAATGAGATTAACCGAGGTCTTAGGTAGAATTTGGGAACTGGACGTAATCCCATCTGACTGGTCTCAATCACTGATTGTGCCAGTTTATAAGAAAGGACAAAAGTCCTCTTGTGACAATCACAGAGGAATCAGTTTGACTAATATAGTGTCTAAAATATTAGCCTCAATAATACTTCGACGCCTAATCAAAGCTCGTGAAGAGCAGACTCGAGAAAATCAGGCTGGTTTTCGACCTGGACGTGGTTGTATAGATCAGATATTCACACTACGTCAGGTTCTAGAACACAGACACACGTTTAGACGCCCCACAATGGTAGTATTTCTCGACCTTAAGGCGGCATTCGACTCTGTTGATCGTAAGGTTCTATGGCAGTGTTTGTCACTGAAAGGAGTACCAAAGAAGTACATTAACCTTATAAAGGCTCTCTACTCGAACACAACTGGTAGAGTGAGAGCTTACGGCGAACTGTCATCAGAATTGATTACCTCAAGTGGTGTTCGTCAGGGCTGTCCACTCTCCCCATTCTTGTTCAACTTTGTGGTCGACGTACTTTTAGAGATAACACTCTCCTCATCTAAATTTCCGGGGGTTGAACTTCTACCGGGAGGTTCACTTGTTGACTTAGAATATGCAGATGACATAGTTTTATTTGGTGAAGACGCTGACAAAATGCAGAGTCTTCTGACCACTCTAAGCAACAATGCAAGCATGTTCGGGATGCGATTCTCTCCCTCGAAATGCAAAATGTTGCTTCAGGATTGGGTTACATCGACACCCGAACTAGTGATAGGGAGTGAAGTAGTTGAGTGTGTCGACCGCTTCACTTATCTTGGAAGTCTCATCAGCCCTTGTGGTCTGGTGTGTGACGAAATCTCAGCACGGATACAGAAGGCTCGACTAGCTTTTGCCAACTTGCGTCATTTATGGCGTAGACGAGATATCCGTCTACCAACCAAAGGACGTGTTTACTGCGCAGCAGTTCGTTCCGTCCTACTTTATGGCTGTGAAACATGGCCGGTAAGAGTAGAGGATATTCGTAGGTTACTAGTATTTGATCATAGGTGTCTTCGAAGTATTGCTCGTATATCCTGGGACCACCGAGTAAGTAACGCAACTGTTAGGAAACGGGTACTAGGTAAGGATGGCAAATCAATTGATGAAGTAGTGAAACTTCATCAGTTGAGATGGCTGGGACACGTGTTACGTATGCCCAACCACCGACTACCTCGACGCGCTATATTCAGTGGTATAGGAGTAGGTTGGAAGAAAGCTAGGGGCGGCCAGACCAAAACATGGCACAAATCCATGAAGTCACTGACAAGTGGACTGAGTCATGTTGGTAGGTGTAGACTACCTGGTTCGGGACCGCGAGATGATAGCAACCGATGGTTAGAGACCCTGAATGACATGGCTCAAAATCGTTTGCAATGGCGCAGGTGCATCCACTCTTTGTGTTCTCCCAAATTCTAATCTCCTGAATTCTTCATGCCCCTTTTTTTCCTCTTTCCAAATTTATTTCACTGGATTATACTCGTTAAATATCATCTCCAAACCCTAATCTTCCCGATTACTGCTTATACTCTTGCTACCTCTACCACTACGGGATTTGAATCGACCACTGCATCTCTGTGCTAATGTGGTATGGCAACTCGAACTGATGTACGTACGTACTAAGTTCTACGTTGTTACTGACTGACTGATTTACAGTAGTGGAACACCAAACATAAGAGATTTAGTTCAAAAGGGACTAATGGGATCGAAGGATGAAGTTTAAAAAGTAACACTGAGGGCGAACTTTATAAAACGGATAATAAATACAATCGTCTCGGCGTTAATAAATATAAACCCTATCACTTAATGTCCAACGACAGGTTACGAATATCACTGGGGTCTACACCAGGAAGCTAAAATCTCTCAATATAACATAAAACGGAAGGCAGTAACCTCATGGGCTGATAATATCTTACTGACAAAACCTATTGAATTGTTCTTACCTCGAGATGTCAGAAGCAACAAGAACTTTGGAATAATACTAAAGCCATATTAACAAAACCACAGAATCTGTCAACGGGTATGCAATCAATAGATATCTCAAATTCGAAAACCACATAACTCATGATCCCAAAGTCACTCAAAAGAATTAACAAACATAACCCTTCAATATGATCACAATAAATTGTTTCAGTTACAGATTTCCGAGATCAGTAGATGGCGGTTAAATATTGTTTTCCTGTTAATTAGATCAGCAAAATTGATAATAATTTCAATGTAGACGGAAGACTGGCTTTTAATAGTTTTAACAGTGTGCGTACCAATAAATTAGGATGGCTTTTAAGAAGCTATATCAATTTCGAACCACATGTGAGAAAATTTCACTATCCCTAATCTGAATTACAGTTTTCGTGTTTTATTGATTTCAATGGTTAAGATCATGAGTCAGTTGAAGCCAGATCACCATGGAAAACCAGGAAGCACTGGACGGCCAACCGACTCATGATCTTAACCATTGAAATTACTACAATCTCCACAAAACCCATCTGATTTTATTGATTTATTTAAACACAGGAACATTGTTACAAATGATACTGAAATATATATATATATATATATATATATATATATGCACACAATAAAAATGGCATTAAGAAAAGATAGGGAGGGAGATGTGAGTAGATAAATAGAAAACTAATGGTAATAATAATATTAACAACAATAATGATGAAAATAATAATAAGTGATAATCAGAGAAGCAGTTAAGTCAAAGACAAAACAACCAAGAATAATTTCAGTTGAAAAAATTCTCTCACCTACATGAAATGAAAGAGAGTAGCGGTAGAATCGCTATCAGCTTATATTCTGAGCCGTATCTGACAACGTCTCAAGACATTGTATCATCAAGAGTCTTAAAACCGGAGATGTGAAGGAATGACAGATCATAGCACCGTATAGGTTTCTTTCATACCAGGATACCATGTCGTGCAGTAACCACCTCTTCGCTTCTCCCAACCAATCCCAACATCGGTAAATAATCCACGAGGTGGAATTCATGGGACATATCCAAGTCACCGAAGTCGGTGTTTCAAGGTGACACCAATCGAACTATCGTTAGTGTGTCCGAACATATGATGCCGAACCTCTGCATTACTAACGTGATGTTGCCAGTGAATGTCAGCAATCCTTCGGAGACGACGACGATCAGATACAGAAAGTCGTCTGATATCCTCAACTCGAAGAGGTCAGGTTTCACAAGCATAGGATGAAAAAGCTTTCACCGACGCGTCGCAGATTCGAACTTTCAAAACCAGACTATCATTATGAAAGCGCCAAAGATGGACCAGATTGGCATGAGCCGCTCTGGCCTTCACCATACGTGAATTGATCTCATCACTTACGCTTCCACCGGCACTTATACAGCTACCCAGATATATGAACTTCTCGACTACTATCTGCTCACTACCAAAAGTGAGTGCTGGTTCAGGGCCCTGCAAGTCTTTTAGAAGTACTTTGCACTTAGGAGGTACAAAACGCCTGGCATACCTACGGACTAAAAAATGATTAGGTATGGGTTGCATGGCTTGGGTATCATTGCACAGTAAGACAACGTCGTCCGCATACTCCAGGTACGAAAATCATTCTGCAACACCCACTTCGACCAGACCGATTTTCAAAATATCATCGATGGCGAAGTTGAAGAGGAATGATGAGAATAGATAAACCTTCTTAGCCTTACTGCCTAAATGAAACAATGGAGAGAGGTGGTTATATACCCACACTCTCCGAGGTGTTAGTGTATAAGGTTTCCAAGATGTTAATAAACATCTCAGGCATACCCTTCTTCAATTGACAATCCCAGAGAAAAGTCCTGACCAACAAATCGAAGACCGCCCTAAAGTCAAGAAATACCATGATTGCTAGCCTGTGACAAGTATCACGGCGGTCTAACGTTTGGTGGAGGGCGAAGATATGACCAATAAAATCCTCGACAGAGACGAAAATCTGTCTCGTGAGTCACTTTTTCCTCGGTTTTGAACAATCTACAAACTATGACGGAAGTCAATAGTTTAGACAAACCCGGAAAGAGTTATCCCCCGATAGTTACTGCACAAACAACGTGAACCCTTTTTAAGCATAAGAACAACTATCGACTAATTTTACGACGTTCAAACACTCTAAAATTACCAGAAATTTGAAAACAACTCAGCCAGTCACGTAATTAGGTCGTCACCATCTTTAAGAACGGCTGCAGAATGGTCATATGGGCCTGATAATTTGTGGAATTGCTTGTGTACATCTACCTCGTTAGGTGGATCAGTCGTCACCTACCATAAAAGACAGGACAGCCTGATTGATGTCACCAGGGTAGCAGACCAGTCGAACTGTGCCTCTAACAACTTTGTCCATCGTTCAGGATGTCGGTCGATGTCATTGGTTGGCATCCCGTCAGCTCCATAGATTGTTTCACTCACACAAGACTCCTTGCAGCCAGTGACTCGGATGAGTCGAAAGAGCCTCCAGAAGTAACCAGACCCAATTGCTGTCTCAAACTCGTTAGCACACTTCAACCTCCAGGCTTCTTGATCCTTACGCAAGCTTTGTATAGTTCAATTGCGTAACAATCTACGGCTATCGTTGGGCTCACAGTTACCCGGAGTAAGCCGACGTGCCTCAATGAGTTGTAAGGAGCCTGTAGAAACCCAATGCACATAAGCGGGACGTTTCGAGTACCCGCGAGCGACTTGGCGCTCCATTTTCATGGCGTAATGCAAATGTAGTCGGTACTCATCTGTAAATTCCGGTGGATCGATAGCTAGCCCATAACGTAGGTTCGTTTGATATTTAGTTGCAACAGAGTCTACAGTTAGTTATCTTACGCCAATCCGTTTAGTACAATGAATTTGTTGGCTATTGAAACAGACGATAAGATTAGCGCAAGCAAGAGCATGATCATTATTCAGAAAAGTATTCCAAAAGGGGCGGCAATCAATCAAGTCAACCAAACGACTCTCCTCTGCGCCTAGATGCTCGACATCCACTTCAAGTCTCCGACTAGTACTGTAATATCTGTTGAACGCCCTGAACCGATGGTAAAACTTATCCTTGACAGCACTGGACTACAATCTTTCAAGGCGTAAACGAAGATAACGAAAAGACATTGTTTCTCACACTAATATCTTCCCACTTTGATTGACTTTTCCAATCCAATACCGTATAACCAACTGTTAATAGGGATCTGATGGATTTGTGCTGCCTAAGCCCTAGCACTTAGTGCGACACCAACGTCAGCAAAACTAGACGAAGATGCCACAGAGTCCCCAGATAAACGCACGGGGAACAAGCTTTTGCAAGCGACATATGGAGAACCGATTTGTAGTACTCCATTAGGCTCTTGAGTGCGGTTCTCGGACAGACAATAGACATCGACGTCGAGACTTCCTAAAGACATAGTCAACCCTATCTGCAGTTCGAACTGTATTAGTGTGGGAACGTTGAAGGAACCCATTTTGAATGGTGTACGTGGTTTCCGAAAGGCTGGTTCATAGTTCATTCAATCAGTGACTTAAGATCGTTTCGATAAAACGAGATTTCCAATACAGGCGAACTGCTGTATGGGCTGAAAAATAAATGAATTCACGAAGTGGAAATAGAAAGGAATAGACAAGTGATGCAATATAAAAGGACGAATGTAACCGAATAGTTATGAGTATAATTTATGAGAATGAGGATTGACGCAAGCGTAATTTATTCTAGTTGAAGTTATTATTATATTTGTGTGAGGGTTGGGATATTACCCAAGCGCCCAAATTGAAACATGGGATCTTTTCGGGGGACCACACACCGAGCCCTTGACCTAGGGAGCTAATCCACGGGGCAGCAGAATAACGTTAGGAGACACGTTTCCATAATAGGCAGTGACCAAAAACAGGTTCAAACGCCTTTTGTTTCATCGGGAAACTAGATCTCATATGGACCATTAGTTTGAAATTAGGGTTTCTTAAATTCGTCAGATGGAACTTTCGTACCCACCAATGCGGTTTAAGCTCCGGATATTCGCTTATTGTCCCCTTTATTCCGTAAAATAGCACTCCGGGGGCGAGAAGATAGTGAGTAGGACTTTCCAGGCAGCGACATGTGAGAGGATTTTGAGAAGGAATAGCGGATTTTCCACACCCTCAAACTTACCAGGGAATTCGGGGACCGATTCTGTGACACTTATTTTATCTCAACATTGCTAGACGTATTCTCCATAACTTGTGCTCTTTCGTCAAAACTGGAATGATGACTAAAAAATATTAATCTTCGAGTAAGATTACTGATTGTTATTGATTCTTAGTTGATAACTAGATAAATTGATCTTATGTACCATATGTAATCTTAATAAACCACGTTTTTAAATGAGAAAAACACAGCCTGTAATTTATGCAGTTCTCTTTGTAATCAAGTAAACGAATTTAAGTTTATGATCATCCCAGTGTAGGAGCTAATAACAATGGTAAGTTGTCTTACCATCCTTATAACTGGAGATGAAGCGATATAGTTGTCCACACTATGGTAAAGGAGAAGTATTTTGGGCCCCTGATCGAATACCTTTGTCATGCTTTTAGACAAATGATTCACAATTTACTTTATTCATGCTGATTTGAAAAGCATAGAATAAACATATACTGGTTTGTTGTATGGATTTGGAGTTTACCATTGTTAATATTGCATACTGAATCGAGCATTCTTTAACAGCTTATATACCTACTAAAACAGATGACTCAATGTTGCCTGAATTCATCTGTTGATTCCAAGTTTTGGTAGCAACTAGTAATACAACGCAGGACGCTTAGCACATCACAATTCAGACTCAGCGTTAAAAATATCAATACTGTGGTGCAAGTATAGGTACTGCATGAAATGACAATGAGCCATAATAAGTGAGAAAATTAATTGACTATGATATTGCGCATAATTTTTATCCGAAATTTCTCTTACTTGTAGCCAATTCCACTAAAAGGCGATTGCTTTTTTGATTTACTTTTGTATTCATTGTATTGATGTGTATCCAACACTTCTGCTCCTTTACCTCTAGCAGCTTGAAAAAGATTACGGATGAAAACGTCGGGAGTTTGGGAAGGGTCATGAGTTCTCTTATTACCATCACGTCTTGGAGGACCAAGGACTTGTTGGCCACCACCTCCAGTTTCCGAACCTCCAACATAAAATGCCTGTCCCTTATCTGATTCATCATCACTAAACAAAAAAAATGGAATAGCGTTATCAATACGCAATTATTTTCAGTTTTGACAAATGGAAACGATTAACACGAAACCAACGACAATCTGTGCTGTAAAAGGTTGATACTAAATGAGTTCGCAAACTAGTGGAAAGGAGTTGGATTCTGGGACAAAATTTTAAGCAAACACGTGTCATATGACTAACACTCAGGATTGCTACATTCATGATAATCAGTAAAAATAACCTTGTGGACCCCAGAAGAAAGCTTGTTTTTTGATGATATAAGTTAAATGTCCTTGATAAGTAAGGGTCAACTCAAACGAATTAATGACCATTTTACAAACTTATTTGGTTGGTATACAAGAAGACCTATCAAGTTTTATGTAAAGGCCAACACATTCATCCCACCACGTAATACTTTATAAACAAAATAACAAAGCGGAACTGTAATTGGCCCATCATTTCAATTTAATGATACTAATAATAAAGTCGACGAATGTGGTACTTATTTAACCTCTTTACAGCCTCTCTTATGTATTGGGACGATAAGTAATTGTGACCAGTCAGATGGAATAACGTCTAACTCCCAGATCTTAGCTAAAATATTGGTCAACCTAATCGCTAAAATTGGACCACCATCCATAAAGACCTCTAAAGTCAATCCATCTGGACCAGCTGCCCTTCCTCGTTTCAAATTAAATATGGCATTCTCAACTTCAGCAAGAGTTGAGGGACCTACTTCAATGTTCCATTCACATTGTCTGGGAATGGAGAGTAATTGTAGAGTAGCTGGAGGCCAGTTGAACTGTTCTCTAAAATGTTCCGCCCATCGTTCTAAACGTCTGGACTGGGAGCAGATGAGAGTATCGTCTTTTTCAGAAATAATCTCACTTACACTTGACTTATTAATTCCAGTTTCTTTTATTAGTCTGTAGAGCTGTCTTGTGTTCCCTATAGCCGCCGCCTTTTCCATCTCTTTCGCTTTCGTTGCCCGCCACTACTCACGGTGGTTCCTTAGACATTTTTAAAACCTAGATCTGATTTCTTTTCGCTCTTCATCGTGTTCAGAGCCTGATGGGATGAGTTTACGAGAATCCATCAGTACAATAGACCTTGAGGAAATTTATTGGTTCTTTGTAACCCTATGGTTTAAATCACTGATAAATGTCACTGCTGTTCAACCTTGTCTTCAGAACTACCTAATTGTGACTTCAGTTGTTCCTGGAACCTACTTTTGGTTTTCTCGCTAATCAATTCAGTTCTAATGGGTCTTTTTACTGTGGCATTTTTGCGTCCAGTGAGGCGCAAGCAAATGCGTGATCGTATTAGGGCATGGTCGGAGTCCAAGCAGGTGCTTCAGAATGAGCGACAATCTTCTACCGACCCTTTCCAACGATGACTGATGGCAATATGGTCTATTTGAGTCCATCGTTGGTTTGGTGTAGGGGGTCGCCATGTTAGACGATGTCTCTCCTTATGCTTAAAATTTGTGTTTGCTAAAAATAAACGATTGTCTGAGCATAGTTGCAGCAGACGAACGCCATTATCTGTTCGTTGTGCCGGTATACTAAAATATCCACCTAAATGCCTTTCTGTTTGGTTTAAACCACCCATCTGGGCATTAAGGTCAACTGCCACGAGTATTATGTCTGAACGTTTAGCTTTCTGAAGAAGCTCAGATAGCTTTCTTTAAAATTCATCTTTCACTTCATCTGAGCTGCACTCGGTGGGAGCGTAGGCAGAAACGACAAAAAGGCAACGTGTGTCCCTATCCTTCAGAGTTCTTACGGAGCCGTTTAGCCGAACAGCATATAAACGACTGTTAACGGGGACCCACTTTAACAGTGCTTGTTCCGCCCTCATGCTTAGTGCTATACCTACTCCTGCCAGTCCACGAGAGCTGTCCGTCGGGTCACCAGATACACGGAGGGTGTAGCTTGTTGGCTCCCCGTTTTGCCGGGGTGAGGTTAAGTGAATGACCACACTGGGATCCTGTATGCGTGTTACAGAGACACAGCATACATCAATGGTACGAGATTCTAAGGTTCTAGCCAGGGAAGCCTGTTGAACGATTTGACATAGGGTGCGTACGTTGAAGGCTTCAATGTGTAGTTTGGAGCGACGTTTCAGTAGACCTGGAACAGTGTTTTGAGCACTAGAATCGTTGGCTATGGTGACACTTGAGAGGGAAGCCGAAAAAGGAAGTTTAGAGGTGAAAGTCGATGTAGGAGGAATAATAGGAAGTGAAAACGAAGGTTGATTATGAATACAGTGGTCTTGAGTGCTGTTAGAGGTATGAGGGTGGTTATCACTTCCTGATTGCCCATACTGTGGAAGGGTTCTTCTGGAGGTGCCTGAAAAGAAAATTGGGTTAGAGATGGTCTTACTGACCTGAGAGCGTGACCGCAGTGCCCAAGGAACAACTGCTTGAGGGTGGTCACACACGACCTTTTTATGTGTAATTTTTGTGTTAGCTCCGTATCCAAACGATCTTAAGTCACTGATTGAATGAACTATGAACCAGCCTTTCGAAAACCACGTACACCATTCAAAATGGGTTCCTTCAACGTTCCCACACTAATACAGTTCGAACTGCAGATAGGGTTGACTATGTCTTTAGGAAGTCTCGACGTCGATGCCTATTGTCTGTCCGAGAACCGCACTCAAGAACATAATGGAGTACTACAAATCGGTTCTCCATATGTCGCTTGCAAAAGCTTGTTCCCCGTGCGTTTATCTGGGGACTCTGTGGCATCTTCGTCTAGTTTTGCTGACGTTGGTGTCGCACTAAGTGCTAGGGCTGAGGCAACACTAATTAAGCACTCGAAAAATCGTGAGAAAAATGACCCGATACTTGAAGCTCGAAAGCAGACTAAAAATTACGGTGAGACTATAATTTATGTCATAAGTTCAAACAATCATGTTCGTTTAAATTTACCAAAATAAATAAGACAACATATAATTTTACCTATCATTTTCCAGGGTACTCAAAGTTGCTATTTTAGGCTTGCGGTGAGGTGGTTTATTAAATGTGGAAACTGATGGCTCCTTGTGGCTTTTACTCGGTGGTTCAGTACCGTGGTTGAAATGAGAAACATCGCTTGAATGAACACCATCCTCAGAATCGAAATACGCTTTGACTGCTTCCTAAAACAAAGGGTCAGCTCAAACTCCGCTATTCTTACATCGCAATTCCAATCGAAAGCTTCTAAAAAATGTTTAGCTTCTATTTCAGACGTCCCAGTAATACTGCAAAAATTTTCGATGACAGAAGGGTCCATCTGAATGGATGAAAAAATCTTTGATAGATTACAAATGGTTCAAATGGTTGTGGACGGAATAGAAGAAGCTTTCGCTTAACAGGCTTCCGTGTCTAGTAGCAGGGGATCACCAAATCCTCCAGGCAGGAACCTAGGTATGTTAACAATAAAAGATGAAAAGAAATTGGTAAATCATAGTATGATACTGTCTTTGGTCCTTAAGAATAGGTCAAGTTGCCTCTTGAAGGACTCCTGAGAAGTCGCTTGGACTAGCTCAGCGGGCAGCGAATTCCAGCTTTTGACAACTCTTAAGGAGTAGAAGTTGTGTCTACATCCTGTCTTGCTATGTTGAGTTCCCAGTTTCTGGGTGTTACCCCTTAGGTTAGTATTCGAACTTAGCTTGAGTAGGTGTTTAAGAGGATGTCCAGAAGTGTTAAGAATACTATAAGCCATTAATAAATCACCTCTAAGACGCCTATACTCTAATGGGTAAAGGTCTAGTGAATGGAGGCGTTCTTCGTAAGGCTTAGATTTGAGTCCGCGAACTGATTTCGTGGCTCGCCGTTGGATACGCTCCAAAGTGATCTTGTCCTTTTGGAGTGAGGGGGTGAGTACTATATTTCCGTACTCTAAATGGGGACGGATAAAACTATTGAAGATTGTATGGAAAGTTCAATGTTACCAGTGCAAGGTTCGCTCGGAAGGCATTTTTGTCACAATTAGCGTAAGACTTTAGATCATGGGGCACTAGAACTCCTAAATCTTTTTCGACTTGGGATACTACTAGAGAGGAGTTTCCTAAGTTATAACTGTAGTCTGCGACATGTCACAGATGGACTACTTTACACTTTGAAGTGTTAAAGGTAAGTCCGTTATCATCTGCCCAACTTTGAAGTCGAGTCAGATCCTCCTGAAGTGCCTGTGTATCGTCTTGGTTGCGTATCTCTCTCCAAAGTTTCACGTCATCGGCAAAAAGTAATAAGTCTGACGTTACCTGTTGAGGAAGATTGTTTATGTAGATCAAGAAGAGGAGAGGCCCTAATACTGAGCTCTGGGGAACCCCACTAGGACATTCCATAGCCTGAGATAAAGTGAAATTAACCCTAACCTTAAAGTGTCGATTTTCTAGGTATGAAGTAAGCCAATCGATTAGAGGTGGTTTGATACCTAGTCGTTTGAGCTTATTGATACGACACAAGTGGTTAACTTTATCAAAAGCTTTTGAGAAATCAAGTTATATGATATCAACCTTTCCCTTGCGATCGAGGATGCTTGTCCATCTGTCCACCGCAGTCAGCAGGTTGGTTATACAAGAGTAACCCTTCCTGAAACCATGCTGTTGGGGTGAGAAGAAATTTAAGGACAGTAGATAATCGTTTAAACCACCGCATATCAGGGACTCCATGAGTTTTGAGGGTAATGACAGAAGAGCCACCGGCCGATAACTTGAAGGTTCATTGCGTCGACCCCCTTTGAAAATTGGTGTGATGTGACCCAACTTCCAATTTTCCGGTAATTTGCCTTGGCTTAGCGAGTGTGAAAACATCACGCTAAGCGGCGTTGCCAGGATTGAGGCTGCCTCCTTCAGTATGGCAGAATGAACCATATCCGGGCCAGGAGAAGTATCTAGTCTTAAGTGCTGCAGTTTCCGGAACACCAAGTCAAGAAAAGTAAGTGTTTAATTGAAATAAAAAGAAGACCGAACAGATAAATAACTCTGGATACTTTGCAACATATGCAATAAGAATCACCACTCAATCACTCCTAACTATTACGCACCTTTTAAATCTTGGCAAGCCTCAAATGTCCAATATCTGCCAAACGAAACCGATTGAGATAATTTTTTTGAAGTAAGATTACTTACACTTATCACACCTGGATATACAGTGATAATGTTTTCTTGATTATCTGTACTGGCGAATCCGACGACACTAATCATTCTTGCGAATCGTCAGTTTACGCAGTTTAGCGAATCTTCTGCGAATTGAAAACAACATCGTCGCCTCGACCTCAAAACTAACAAGGTTTCGCACCTATATCTTTGACATGGGTCCATATTTATACTTTTTTGTTCCTTTCATTCGCTTCGATATTCTTCGGTTTGTTTGTCGAATAAACATTCATCACTCCCTGCTTATTATTCTATAGAGACAACTTTGTAGTAGAAAAAATTAATCCCAGAAACAACTGGTTTTGTGAGTCTTTGACACTGATGCTGACCTCATTAGTTTTATCGGACACTTCTAGCTGAAGACTCTCGGTCACGCATCCGCACCAGATCACGAATTCGTTTACCGAACTACGCATCCCTTGCAACCACTAGCCATGCCTAGACGAAATGCATATACGGAAATCGGTAGCCCTTAAAGTATATTTTCGAATCTCTTCATCGCTCATTTGACTGGGATATAATTTTTCGACCATAAAGCTGTTACCTGTAAAGGCGTTGTCAAACTACGAATACCTGTGACAAATTTAGTAGTGAGAAGGACGTCACCATGCATAGATATTCGCAGACGGTGAGTCCATACCTTGTTGGAACATTGTATACCATTTTTCAACTTCAATATTTGTAGACTGTTATATTGTTCTCATGTTCTCAGGTATTTTCTTTCTCGTTCATTGCCATATCATATCTTTACGACAGAACAGACACCTAAGCTGTTTAGAATCAAATATCTTTCACGTCCAACACTTCAGCTAATACCGTTCTGGCCTCATAATATAAAAACCAAGTTTTACTACTCAAAAGCTGACTTCCACAAGCACAGAGGGACAGACCTACGTGCACAACTTTTCTCAGTTGTGAAGGAATCACCGCGCGATTTCCACAAGTACTCCACGCTCAATATGTTTACCAGTGACGTTTCGGTACCTTAGAACACTTTGGAGGAGGCTACGCTTTAACGTGGAGACCTCTCCGACTGACAAGGTTTAGACCAACTCTTCCACAACACTAAATCGCATCATGGCTTGGCGACAGGAATGTTGCCACGTATGTGTGAGGCCAATGGTCAATGAACGTTTGATGAGGTCCTGTTTACACAGCCCTTCTCGTCTAAGCTTCCCTAACAGGTGAATGAAATCCTTTTCTGATTACAAAATGACGTCGTAGACGGACTGGCGACATCTGCCGACCGGATTCTGGGAATCACCAGAACCCCCAACGTCGAAGTTTGTTGTGTCACAGAAGAGTCTCAAACGACAAAAGATGACATCTCAGACCACTGTCAAACTCTCATACGTCGTCTCAATACTCATCGTAATCGTAGACGCTCTCAATCTCCTCTAAGAAGCTCTTCACAATGAAAATCTGTTAGCGTACCATGAGCAACTGACTATCTTGATTGGTACTAGCACCACGATAAATGTGGTAAGTCTTCTAGAAACTGCGGAAACCCATCCAACACGAAAACTCTTCCACAAACTTCCCAGCCAGCACGCATTTACGGCAGCCGTAGCCGGCAAACACAGCTGTATGTTGTGCATAATTGATGTGTTGACAAAAGTTCTATTTCCCATCAACACTGGAGCGGACGTTAGCGGTCATCCTGCGGATTCCAATGACCGATTGCGTGAAACAGTTTTCAACTAACAGGTAGCAAATGAGAAACCGATTCCTACATACTGTAAGCAATGTGTTCACCTTATTACCGGTTTACGCAGACCTATTCACTGGATTTTCATCACTGCAGATTTTTCTATGCCAATCATTTATATAGACGTAGGTTAGCAGATAGAAATACTATATTATCTGTTTGCATAATTTCCTTTTTTGGTTGTAGATTATCTCCAGTCACAGTAAGGCACACAATCGACCCAACTATACCAAACGCACCAGACACTATCTCGTGTAACCAGAAATATTACGCATCACACCATGACTACGTGACCATCTGTATTTTCGGAGTCGCGTCGGGTCATTGCATTAGATATATCCGAATAGGTAATCAGATGAGTCCTATAACAATAGGTAAGCAACATCTGGCAGTCATTGTCATTCTTCTCGAGACGATTGCACGACACTCAATCGAGGTAAACCATGTTGGCAGAGAACCCCTAGCCATGTATCGTACTGTACAACACTTTCAACACCCTATGGAAACCATCAACCTCATCATGAAACGATTTTGTTGGCCTGGTATGAGTAAAAACATGAGAGAGCTGCCAGAAATCCAAGGTGGGAAGACACAACAAATGTTCCTCAGGCTATTTCACAACTCCCGATGCTCGTTTCGAACATGTTCATCTGGATTTGTTAGGACCTTTGCCAGATTCAAACGGATGCTCTCACTTTTCAATGTGTGCGTCGCTTCACATCATGGCCAGGAACAGTGCTCTTCAGGGATATTAGTGTTGAAACATTGGCTCGTGCCTTGATCGAAGTAAGCTTCAGCTTCCCTTCAACTGTCAATACAAACCGTGAATGCCGGTTTTAATCTGGACTTTTACATTTTCAGTAGTAGGAATCCCAAGACTCTGAAAAACAGTCTACCACCTATCAGCGACCCGGTTAGTGGAACAATTTCATCGACAGTTGAAAGCTTCACTCTCAGCTGAAAACACTTCACAACGGACCAACGTCATTCCACTAGATTTACTTGGTATTCGCAATGCAGTGAAAGTTGACGTTGGACACATTCACTGAGCGACACTCCAAATCCTAGTAGAGTTTGTGGATCCTTCATCTTCTTCAATAAACATGGATCTAAACTCTTACAGACTCCATGCGTTCAGTTAAACCTGTTTCCACTCGACCACAGTCTACTGGTGTTTTTGTTTATCATGACTTACGGCATAGTACACACATTCTTGTACGTCGCAAACATTATAACGAACGCTCGAAATAGCACACGAAGAACACTTCAAAGTTTATCATCGTAAAACTAAATACGAGATCGTCGATTAGAACGAAACAGAAGTTAATTTCAACATTGGCCATCTCAAAGCTGTATACATGGAAATAGCCACTTATAAAGTTCATTTGCCTCCGATACAAAAGGAAGATATGTTTACTATCTTTTGCACTTACCAAGGTCACCTTTTGAGCACGCGCTTGCAGCTTGAGCCCATTTTCGATTTTCGGATCTCAATAAGGTTTAACATATTTTTATCTAATTTGGAAAATCTGCAGTTTTGACACCCATTTCAAACTGAGCATATAAATTAAAACCGCGTGGCGATAACTTATGGTCTTAGGGTCACGACTCATCACTAGCCATAGAACAACGACTACAATGCCTTGCTCAAACATGTATCAGCCATGTGAGTGAACACTCTCAACGGGAAGGTGGATCGTTATTGGATAACTAACTGTCAGAATTAACAAAGGTCCGCCAACCTGCCATCATTAAAACTGAAGACTGATATGATGCAGAAGAGTAGACTCGTGCTGAATCGTGAAAATCTGCGTACTTCGAGGCTTCTGATAGGATGGATAAAACACCAAGTCGCTCGCGTTTTATACTTGGCAAATGGGATCACCTTGTGGTCACTATTGTCTTTTTTATGATCGCCAACAATCATATGATGGGGTTCATTCACCTATTCTGGTTGGTTGAATTGAAGTTACCATAGTTCCGAATAGTCTGCTGTTTCGACGGATGACTGTATGATGTTAGGTCAATAGCTGAAAAGAACATTTCTGAAGATGTGAACTACTTTAATTATTTTGCTCAAGTATTGAGACTCAAAGTTTTTGTGAAAATTCTGGTATCAAGTTTCGGTATCGTTTGTTAGTACAGGTTATAGAAGTGTTATCTTGCATCTGGCATATTGACCGTTTCTAACTCCCCCAATGTATTTTATAACCAAGCTCCCGCGTGTAGTTAGGTTTATAATACTACTCTACGATGATGACGTCAAAAACAGATGAAATACGCCCTCCTGTTCAACCTAGACGTTTTAACTATCTGGTCTAAACCATGGTTAATGTTTGTCAACGCGGTCAAGTGTGTTAACATGAACATTACACATGCAAAAGCGAACAACTACAGCACTGAGAAAGTGTCTTCTCTCTTACATCTGTCTCATAATATTCTATGATTAATGGTGAGTCGTGACCCTAAGACCATGGGTAATCGCCACGCTGTCTCAGTTTATATGTTCAGTTTGAAAATTGCAGATTTTCCAAATCAGATAAAAATATGTCCGCCTCAATATGTTAAACCTTATTGAGATCCGAAAATCGAAAATGGACTCAAGCTGCAAGCGCGTGCCCAAAAGGTGACCTTGATAATTGCAAAAGATAACAATGATCTCACAGTCACACATGGCTTGACAACGCTGTTTATAGTTGAGAATTTCAAAATCAACCAAGCTAGAAGTTTGAAGTAAAGGAGTTCAAAGTTATAAATGAAGATAGTCGATGTCTCAAGAACCATGTAACCTACACTGAATAATCACTGCGACGGTCGCGTGCCGGACGGTAGCTTGATGTGGATATCTGACCAAGCACCTTTAGTTAGGTCGTCTTCAGTGAAACTAGGGAGGTCAGGATCAATGTCGAAGACTTTCTGAACTATTTATTTCTGGGATTATATGGTTTCATGGTACAGAACATCCATCCTTGCAATTTCAGAATTTCAAGGATTACAATACACTTGTGAAACTTCACCACTTTGCCCTCTTGTAAGGCACATTTGAGGTTGATATAATTTTGATGCTAGTCATACTTTGACGTGATTTGGGATCTCACGTACTCTAATTTTCTTCCCACTAGATCAAAAGATTTGAGCTATTAACCATAAATGCTTAGGGCTACTCGTAAAATGACTCCAAAGCAATCGTATTTAGCTGGTGCAA